AAACAGTCCAGCCATCGTTTGCATTAGTTCACTAACTGTCAAGTATGTTTTTGGTATGACACAAAACCGTTCAAACACAGCCTTTAATGGCCTAAAACAGCCAGTCAATGACAGTAAAGCCAACTGTTAAACGCATAGGAATTACACGTAGAAGGGGAACCTAACACTGATAATATAATGTGTTCCGCGTTACGTGTGATGTGGCCTTAAGTTACATTTGTACAGAATTTAAACGAGAGCTCAGTGCGACGTCCTCCGTAAAAACACAAAGACGACATACAGATATGGAAGATATTGATAAAACGTGAATGGTGAAGTTTAGCTCGTTTTGATCAGTGAGACGGACCCAGCCAGTGTCAACAACACGTAGCTACCAAAGTTGTTAGTTTCGGTTGCATCGTAGCCATACGTGCCATCAACTACCCAAAGAGCAAAGGATTATGAACAGAGAGTAATTTAACTCAGCACTTAACACTCTTTAACGTAACCTCGGTTCAATTATAGTTTATAATTTTAAATTGGCTTAGTTTCCGTTAGGCTAAAGCCTCATAAACATATGCTTTAACCTGCTAGCATTAGTTGGCTAGCAAGTTAGCTATTAAAGTTCCTGCATGCGTCAAGTCAGGCAGAGACAGCATGAGGAACACTGACCGCTTACTTCAAAATACAACTAGCACGTTTCTAGGAAAGACAGTTTCATGCGTTTCTCGTCTTTCACAATTTTATTTTGAAAGTTTTAACCGGAAATTCTCCACTCTAATTTTTATGAACTCGACAACTTGAAGTTAACCAAAGCGAATAGCTAAGGGAAAGTTAGCTAGTAAACGTTAGCTACTTATCTGCTAAAATAGCTCGAGTCGTTTGTATTGAAATAGAGCACCATACGCCAGAGGGCGTTCACAATTCATTTAGTTGGATAATTAACTAAAGAAAACGTTCAACATATTATCTTCTAGATCTTTCATTCTGTATTTTTCTTCTTGTTCTTTGTTCACTTACCTTGGTCGAAGGTGCGGTATCTGCCGTCTCTTCCTCTGCTTTGCCGAGCCTTGCGTCACCATCAATTTGAACTCAGCCATGACACCTAGTGGCCAATATAGACTAGGGAAAAAACTGTTTCAAATAAGGTGTGAAGTGTCTGAAAAACCTTCTTCTTCTTGTCTATCCCATGGATGTATTAAGAGAGAAAACGTTTTTTCCCTCTCTTGTATTTAATGATCATCAAGTGAAACAAAAACATGAGGAATACCATTTGTAACAAGAATATTTTTTTAATTTGACTTTATTAGAATTAGAAGATATACTTTATTGATCCCCTAGGGGGAATTTTTTTTTCACTCTTTTTTTAGACACACACACACACAGGCTGAAATAACACAGCTTTATCATGCACATGCTGTGGATTCATGCAAAAGGGAGGAGAATGGTCGGAGTGAAATGTGGGCAAGCCATGACCGTTTTACCTCAGCGGCGCCATATTGAGTAACCGGTTTCAGTGGGTTAGGTTGGCCCTTGTGGGCTCAATGGCCACGCTCGGCAGTGCACAGGGAGGTGAAACTGGCACCTTCCAGTACCAGTCCACACTCCATAATTTTAGTGGCCTGTGGACTTGAGCCGGCGGACCCTTCCCAAGCCGAAGTTTCCCTACACACTGAGCTACTGGCCGCCCCCCCCCCCCCCAAAATTATTAACCCGTCCAAATTGGGAAATATTCTTTCACTTAAATTATTTTACACACATACAGTCACACACAGGCTCATGGACATGCTGATGAATGTGGAGACATGGTGGGGAGTTGATGGGCTGCCAGGGGAGCAGTTTAGGGGTTGTTGCCTTGCTCAAGGGCACCTCTCAAGCTACCAGTCCACACTCACATACTGTGAACTGGCCACCCCTTTAGGTTCTAAGCCAAGTCCCTATGGGACTTGAGCTACTGCCACCACAAAGGAGAAGAACAAAATGAAATAGAATACAGACCACATTTCAATTACAAATAGTTTTTAAAGGCATGTAGAAGGCCGTGGAGTCCCTGGTGGATGTTCTGAATTTTGCAGCAACACTTTCCATTTCATCGCTTCATATTGTATAATGAATAGTGGGTTTCCTCTTTAGACGACTTTGTATATTATTACTCCTGGATATAAAAATTACCAAACCAGAATTAGGAAAGATTAAAATAAAGACATGACTTTTTCCCATTAATAAAGCAAATAACGCGGCTTTGTCGTACCAAAATTTTATCTGTCCCACACTCAATTCTAAGAGCACATGTTTAACAACCATCGCTTGATCCAGAAAGAAATAGTTAAACACAAATGTTTCATAAAATAGAGATATCTAAAAGTGTTTCTGTGCCAGAGTTTACAGTTAATACTCTGAAAGATACCAACGCCCCAAATGTGTTAAGAAAGTACTGCTATGAATATAATTTTATTCATATACAAGGAATGAAAATGGATGAATAATTAAAGAAAAAACACCAAATCCTCAAGTAAATATATTTTTGTGAAGGTTAAGATGGGGGCTTTTGGGACATTTATTTTTTAATTGTAAAACAATGATGTACTTACTTCTATTTTAAATATGGGAGCTACAGGCTCTCACCTACAAACTAACAGAAATAATATCAAATGCTGATATCAAAAAGTTAATAAACAAAACTGTTGTATGTGGATTTGTATTTTGACTGCTAATGAATTTTACATATTTTTTTTTTTTTTTCCCTCAAAGATAGAGACAAGACAAGGACAGATCATGTTAATGATGTTTTTGGATTAATATTACTGCTGCATTAAAGGTCAAGTATGTGACATTTAGGAGGATCTATGTCAGAAATGGAATATAACATTCATAGGTTATGTTTTTTATTAGGTGTATAATCACCTGAATATAAGAAAACATTATGTTTTGTTACCTTAGAACTGCCAGCTGTTATTGTTTTACTCAAGAGTAGAGGACGTGGCTCCCTTCTCCTTGAGTCGGCCATGTTGCAACCGCCACATCCTGTTTCTAACTACTCTCGCAGGTAGCCCTACAGTATTGTCTAAGTGTTGTTTTAGAGTTTCGCAACATCAATATTTCTCCTTTGCGGTTTGTGTAAGAATGGGAGGGTGAGGCAGGAAAAGGCGTTTCATACCCAGGGAATAAATAGTCAATGGTTTCAGAATTCCCGTAACCCACATATATTCCACTGAATTCCCACGTTACGCGCAAGATCCCCTTATAATGGTTTTGATAAGGACTAGGCGTTCGAGCAGAAAGAAGTTCCTGAATCCACAGTATATTATACAGACCTTACGTCCCTTTTGATATCGGATATATATCGGTACACGACCGCCAGTTAAGGAATCATAGGCAAACCATCTGATCTGGCGGAAAGAGAAACAAAGCTTAAATGTTCCTGACAAAGCTTTTTTGTTCATGGAAAGGAAATAGGTTTTAGTTATTTGTCATCACAAATTAAGAAAGGAACAAAGGGAGGGAGCAATAGGGAGGAGATGCTTGAGGGTATAGGTGAGAGGGTAGAATAAAGTCCATACAAACACAACAAGGCTTCCAGCCCTAGGGGCCCTGGTTGCCTAGGGTTAAGAAAAGAGTGCTGTTAGAATTTTGAAAGAATTTCCTCTTCCATCTACTCTATTCAGGGGTTACAGGCTGAAACAACTGAGAGTCTAATGATATCCATCCTGCCAGGGGTGTTTCACAAGAGTAGCATGCTTTATCAATTTACATATTTAGCAATTCGATGAAATATTTAAAAACTGTCCACAGGAAATATAAGCTATCACAGTGCAACATTTCAACATATAGTCCTTCCTTTATATACACCCAGGGTCCCAAACACTCGGGCTAGTTGTTCATTTTTTGGTCTTCTTCCCTCTATATTAACTTCGTGTCTCTTGATATTCAAGGATCTTTTGTGTGAAATATCGCCTGGCAGGGACAGCTATACGTGACAAGAGTATTTCCTTTATAATTTCATGCGATCTCTGCAATAATCAACATTGACAGTAACACCATCACTATGTAATGATGCTAAGAAGTTCAGCAAATAATAATTACTACCCCAACCAAAAATAGCACTTAAATATCATGCATTGATAGAACCCAACATGTTTAATATTAGTAATTGCCTATTGCGTATTAAGCTTTGGCTGTTAACGGTTCATTGAGTCTTAGGTGTTTTAGCCATTTAAAGGCTGTGTATTATTTAACGTTTGTGTCATATTATACCAATAGACATACTATGCATGTATACGTGAACTAATGGAAATCGATTAGGGGCGGTGTGATTTATTATATTATTGATATAACCCAGGAAGAACTAACGAGCTACACGTAACTCGTGAAACACAGCATCATATTTAAGGATATAAACACTAAAACACCAACAAAAATGAATTAAGAATAATTGGATGTAATGCACAGGGATTTATCATTTGTTCTGTCTACTTTAGGGCGTGCCAAACTCCTGATCGTCTATTGTCAACCCAACAACCACCAAGGCACGATGTGTATATTTGGGGATCATAGGCGCTCTACCTGGTGATTAAAACCTCACACAAAAACTGATATATCTCAAATACCTGGAACTAATACAAAGTGATACACCACGTTATAACTGACTAAAACATCTTTTCTAGAACCGGAGTGAGAGCCGCATCTTTTCAGCATTCGCTTAAGTCACATTGAGGGCATCTTATGGAAGTCTCACAATCGCGGTTCTGAAACAAGGCTACGTCTCACGACTCACTCTATAGAGACACCAAAATCCCCTCAAGTATTATAAATGGAGTGCTGCCAGAATACCCTAAATCATAATAGACTGCAGCACAAAGTTATAAATAAATACCCCATACTACTTTCTCCG